TGGATATCCGATCCGTGCCCACCCCTAACAACGAGCGTGTAATGAGATATATAGGAGTTAAGCTTCCACGCGCCAAAATTTATGCGCGTTGGTTACACGATAGGCAAACATGTTGTGCGTCAATTGAAGTCAAAAGGCTCTATGGCATTGGCTCCGGTCCACGACAGACCAAATCTCTGGTTTGGTTCCAACCAACAAGATTTAATCATTCTTTGTTTTGTCAATATGATTACTTTGAATCTTTTGGTAAGTTTGAAATTTGAAACTAGAATTTGAATTGAGTTTTTGCTCTGATTTGCATATGTAACAATACCCACGCCTATGATGATAGCAAGTCTATAATGATGCAATTATTTTAAAATATTCTTATAATAAATACGAAAACGATATTAATTGATGTGTCATCAGTATTGAACCAACCGAACAACAGACCAAATTGAAAAGAAAAACACTTTTTCATTATTTTAATACTTTTATTTTATTCTCATTGTCTTTTGCAGACCAAACTCCCCAAATCCTCGGAACTGACCGTTGCTGAAACTAGGCACTCATATGGTTATACCTGCACAGTTCATAAACACAGTCCACAAAAAATATACGACAGAAATAAACACTATATACACTGATTAGTAAAAATACAAATCCATCATTTCATCCAAATGATGGTTAACTAGAATCATTTGAATTTTGTTAAAAATAAAAAAGGAAATCTTTTGATAATGTCTTACCACAATCCAAAGAGGGGAGGTTACAACTAGTGGTAAATGTGGTGGCTGCTCGAAGAGCGTTACATATACAATCCTTGTTAGTTGCTTGGAGAGCGATGCAACAATTTGAATTTGGGGCTGGATTAACCGCACCAGGCAGAACCAGAGGCGCACACACCTGCATATTGCTCAGATTGTCTAGGCATTGTTGAGCTCGAACCATAGGTCTGGTCTCTAGAGCAATCATGGCCAGAAGCATTACAAAGAGAATAGTTGTAAAGGATTTGAGACATTCCATTCTGATTAATTGTTTTCTTATGGTTTTTACTTTTGGACTGGTGAATACAATCGATATTTATAGAATATATGTATGTTTGAGCTTTGAGAATAACTAGATCATGAAGTGGAGTGATGCTTTCTATGATCTTGGTGTAGTTACTTCATAGGCTTTGCATGATAAAAATACTAAAAAGTAGGGGAGAATAACAGAGTGTGTGACGGTGTGAGTTACTTTTATTTGTTAATTAATTAAGATATTAAATGGATGTTTGATTATAAATAAAATTTAAAACATTTCGATTCACTTTTTGTAAAAAAAAACATAAAAGACATTAACTGAGCTCTTGCTAAATGTTCCCTCAAACAATAAAATTATTCCTAAATTTTGAAAACTCATGAAACCAAAACATTGTGGTAGTTACAGATCATATTAGGAGTTGAGATCAATGATTAATTAATCAAAAGAGTAAAATAATTCATTGGAAAACGGGCGTAGTTTATTTTCTATCCCTATAGAGACGCCCAATAATGTGATTTGGTGGCCATGGGAAAGCAAAATTATTGGGCCGGGCCTGTTAGAAAACTGTTGCTGGGTCAGTGTCTTTGTCTGTAAGCTGTTGTTCTGAATCTGACAACGAAACATAGAAGGCCACCAAGAAAGTGACTCTTGTTACAGTGCTTGGTAACCACTACAGGTGGGTTTGGTTATTGGAACTTGCCATTTGTCGCTACAAAGTTTGTTTCTATCACAAAAATAAGAGATGACACTATAGTCACATGACTCACATTATTGGACTATTGGCCCCTCCAAAATGGTGATAAAAACAGTTTTTATTTTTATTTTTTTAGGTAACAATATCTTTTGATATATATTTACCATTGACATTGACGCAGATGGATTATCTGTATTTAGAATAGAGACAACCAAAATGATACAGAACATACATAAAAGAAAAAAACACAAACATAAATTAATAATTCCAAAATAAAATGCAGGAATCATGAGGTATATAATATATTTTATGTATAATATTGTGATAACTCATGATGAGACATAACAACAATACCATGAGCTGTCCCTCTATTATTTATATGAATTTATTATTTTTTAATTTTAAAAATAAAAGACTTGCAAGCAAAAAAAAATGTATTTACTTCCCTTTGTTCAGACGTTTCTTTATTCTTCTTCTTCATCGATCGTGTTCAGAAATCATATTCATTACAACCTCACCTCTCTCTCTCTCTCTCTCTCTCTCTCTAAGTTGGATTCTTTTATAACATGTGGTGATCTCTGTTCGGTCAGAGACGAGTTAGAAGCAAAGAATATTTTTAAAGAAAATGATGAAAATGAATACAGGAACATCGCCGTCCATCATCGGCGGCGGAGGCGGAGTTAGCGGCAATGAATGGGAGTCACGACCTGGTGGAATGGTCGTACAACGGCGGACGGATCAAAGCTCCGATACGCCACGTGTCATTCGCGTCCGGGTCAAATACTTGTCGGTTTACCACGAGATCAACATCAACTCCCAATCTAGCTTCGGTAATAATAACCAAAACCAAAGTCAAGATTCAAATACTTTTGTCGGTTTAGTGTTTTTTTTTTTTTTTTTTTTGTAATGAATTGGATTGGTTTAATGTTATCACAGGAGAGTTGAAGAAGGTCTTGTCTGGTCAGGTTGGACTTCACCATGAAGACATGAAGATTATTTACAAAGACAAGGAGAGAGACTCGAAGATGTTTCTTGATCTTTGTGGAGTTAAAGATCGGTCAAAGCTTGTTCTTAAAGAAGATCCGATGGCTCAGGAGAAACGTCTCCTCGAGAAAAGGAGAAACGCTGTTGTTGAAAAAGCTATGAAATCGATCACCGACATTAGTCTTGAAGTCGATAGGCTCGCCGGACAGGTAAGATAAACAGAGTTTTTTTTCCTTTCTCGTTGAATCTGAGATTCTGATTACTGTTTATAGGTGTCGGCGTTTGAGACAGTGATTAATAAAGGAGGAAAAGTTGAAGAGAAGAGTCTCGTGAATCTGATTGAGATGTTGATGAATCAGTTGCTGAGACTTGACGCCATAACTGCTGATGGAGATGTGAAGCTAAAGAGGAAGATGCAAGTAATCAAAGTTTTAACCTAAATCTCTAATTTTTTTTTTTTTTTATTGATTTTAATTTAATATGATTTTGATTTTTATTACAAAGGTGAAAAGAGTTCAGACGTACGTTGAAACACTTGATGTCTTGAAAGTCAAAAACTCGACCAAAAAAGTGGATATCAACAAGTCGGTGCGTCAGAAACCGCAAAAAACGCAAACGCAATATCAGCAACGCGATTTGTTATCGTTTGTTGATGAAGGGGAGGAGGAGCAAGAGGAGCCAAGGAGGGATTCAGGCGCGTCCTCATCAGGTACTCCAGCGAATGTAACTAATAATAATTGGGAGACAATGTTTGACTCCACATCGGCGGCTAAGGCGGTTGAACCGGTTAAACCGGTCCCTCCAAGATTCAAATGGGAATTTTTCGATTAAAGCTATGAACATTAAAACACTATTATAATACATACACGATAAATATGTGTGATTTCTCCGATTTCATGTGATTTGTGATTGATCTTGGCAAATTTTTTTTTTTTGTTTGTTTAGAATTTTTTTGTTGGTCTTCCCTTGAAGTTAATTCACAAATAACAAGGGGAGTTTCAACAAATATAGTTTCATTATCATCATCATAATCCCATCATTGTAATACCTAAATATTTGGATTTTCTTTACTAATACAATAAAAGTGTTATAGTTTTATGAAATACTTTTATATGAATGTTTCTTGTAAGTAGATCTTGTGGGTTAAACTGCAATTTAAAAGCTGCTTATGGTCCATCCAACATCTAAGAAAATAAGAGCAGGTTAGATCGTTAGAGACCAAACTGGTACACCGAGGTAATGGGATTCAGATTTTTAGAGTTTGTCTGTCTCCCCACCTTTAAAGCATTGTTAATGACAATTACAACCGTGTTCTTCATGAGTTAATGGGTATCAAAGTCCGATAGAGTCTCTTTCGCACATGTAAACCGTGATTTCAATCTACCAGCTCTTGCTAAAAGAGGTCCAATGAACGGTTTCTTTATTCAAATTTCAAGTTGTATATTTTTTTCTCTGTTTTAGTTAACAACAACGTTGACGAAAACAAAAGTTAACACCAACAATGTTTGACGACATTGTACCTTCTCAAATTATATGTTAAAGTCCTAGAAAGAATAATTTTATCAAAAAAAAAAGTATACAACAATATAAATATTTAATTTACTTACATTGTATAAACAAGTACAACTTCAACTACCTACAAAACATGTAATAATGATGAGGCAACTCTCTCTACAATTCATATTTTTACCATTTTTTTCTAAAGATAGTTGACATTTTATTTTATATCATATTTTTGATATTTTATACTAGTTAATTGTTCCGTTTGCCTTGTTCTTTTTGTTTCTCTTCAAAGCAGGCATGTTGGTAACACATGCTAATCATAACAATGAATATGGTTTCTTGTGGAATCGGTAACTTCTGGTGACCAAAATTATATTCATTGCTTCCTGTTAAGGCTACAAAGTCGTTCCGGGGCAGAGATAGGGGAATCTTTATGATGGCCAAAGACCTAATCCAATAGTCTATCGACATTAGAAAAAGCAAAGTACAATAAAGTTCATTAAGGATATGATTTAGGATTTAGTTAATCATATAGTTTCGGGGATTTTAAAAAGCCAATTTATCAATATTTATAAAATCTTAAGATCTTTTGATATGATTTAAACCTTTATGGTAACCAATAGGAATTAGTGGATTAATTATAAGATACATCAAATAATTTATTGTGACATGATTGGCATCCAATGCGAAAAACTTTCTTGCGTTCTATCACAAAGATTTGGTATGGCTCGAATGTTTCCTTGACACCTATTTTTAGGTGAGTGATGAAAATGGGAAATGATACTTTTAGATTTTGCTTTTTACAACCGGTGGCTCTTCTAAAAGAGTTGGAGCAAAATACAAGATTCTATATTGTTTTTTGTTTCAGTTTTGTGATCTACAGCTTAAGGTAGTTTATATGTGTTAAGTAGCAAGTAGAGCATAAAACTGAAAAGAGGTAGCTGAATAATGTGGAATTAATTTAAATGTTGATGGGGTTTAAAGATTAGTTTGAGATAGTATTGTATAGTAATTAAAAATAAAATATTATATGTGTAAGGGAAAATTTATACATAGATTTTACAGGATGTATGAAATATATAAAAGGTTTAGGATGGAGTTGTAAGGATCACATGGGCGCTGAACACTTCGGACTATGAGCATGTAACAGAAGCCGATCAGCATTGCATGCAGAGATGGAAGGACTACTCTGGGCAATCTCATGCCTGCAAGCCTTGAGGATATCAGCGGTACGGATCGAAACGGACTGCTCGGATCTTGTAGACATGTCGACCAACCCGGAGGACTGGCCAAATTTCGCGACAGAGATCGAGATACTTCAGAAATCACTGGAGGTCTTTGAGGATGTGAGTCTGTCTCATATTCCCCGTTGTAGGAATGGTCGTGCGGACGCACTCGCCAAGGAAGCAAGGAAGAAAGGATTTACGTTTTCCCATATAGATCAGACCAGGTCACACGGAGGTACCCCCGGGGAATCGGCTCGTCTGACCACCACTTGATCTAGTAACAATGGGTTGTTGACAAAAAAAAAAAAAAAATATATAAAAGGTTGTACTATTCAATTTAGAACATATCATTGTGAGTATACATATTAACTTATAACACAAACACATGGCATCTCTAATCATATATATAGTTTATATATTAATAAGTTCTTAGACATACATAATATCCAACACTAGCTGAAGAAAGAAAAAAAAACATAATATCCAACATTTAGAAACATACTAGAAAACCAATACCATACACTTCTACAATTCTCTTAATTTTTTTTATATATTTGCTTATAAACTACTACGCATTGGTTGCCAAAAAAAAAAAAAAAAACTACTACGCATTGGCGGTTTTATTTCTTCTCCTTCGCTAACATCTTGGATCATCGAACCCTTTTCACTTCATGCCATTGAACAGAGACTCCATGAAGTCGAACTCACTAGCCAAGTCCTATAAAAAAGTGGTTAACCAATAATTATATCATATGACGCATCGAGTACAATTTAAACGTGAAAAACAATCTCTTTCAGATTTTGCTAAGGTTATACTGTTTTACCTCCGGATTCAAGAACGACCAGTCGTCAAAAATTGGAGCATCCTGTTCCTACCAAATAGATCCCAGGTTTCTTAGTTTATTTAATAAATAATTTCATTGATATTTAGTATAATAGTTACATGGAAATATTTTAGAATAATACACATTAGAGGTACCTGATCATGATTAGCGCTCATGTTGAAAGTTTGAGAATTTGTCTCAGGAGCAAAATTGTTGGACGTTTCTCCATTAGAATATCTCTTCACAACAAAATCAAGTAATAAGTCACTAAGACATTATATTGAACAACTCTAGTACGAAAAAAATTCACTGTAGATTCTTAAATATATGATATTAAATATATAATATCTGATAGGACGTTGCTTCAAATTCAATCCTGTAACTATTAAAAAATTCTAATAATATGTAGTTACCTGATTTACGTTCACAAAGGTCCAGTCATTATCTTCTTCAAGAGTGAAAAGCTGATTCATTTCAGTCGAAAACATTGCAGGAAACTCAAATTGGGTGGTAGAAACCGCTTCTTGTTGCTGCACGCACCACAATTCAGACAAGCAAATCTCACAACATATACTTCATGTATAATATATACATTGTTGAAAAATTAGGGCAGTGAAGACACATACCTTGTTGTGATCCACTTGAAAGTTACTTATGTCCCAAGGAAGCTCACTAATATTGCCGAGTTCATCATACAAGCTGAGACTCTCCAGTTGAGGAATTTCACTATTTGGCTGTGCAGTTGCATTGGCATGTGGCTGAGGCTGAGGATTATATGGAGTGTTTGCATTGTTTTTTGATTCCAACCCATACGAGAAGTTGCTAGATCCTGGTTGATGAGGAGTTATACTTCCAAAGTTGTTTAGTTGTGCATTATGAGTTGCACTTCCATAACTTTTAACTCCTGGTTGATTAGGAGTTAAAATTCCATGGCTGTTCGATCCTAGTTGATTAGAAGTTAAATTTCCGTAGCTGCTCATACGTGGTTGACCATGAGATAAGTTTCCATGGCTGTTCATTCCTGGCTGATTAGAAGTTAAATTTCCATAACTGCTCATTCCAGGTTGAGTAGCAATTAAACTTCCATAGTTGTTCACTCCTGGTTGATTAGGAGTTAAACTTATATGGCTGCTCATGCCTGGTTGAGGAGAAGTTGAACTTCCATAAGCCATTCCTGGTTGATTAAGAGCATGTCTTCCATTGGTCCTTCCTAGTTGAGTAGACGTTGATTCAAGAAAGCTTCTTCTTCCTTCATTTTGGGAAGAGTAACTGAGGTTGCTCTCGATGGGCAGGTTCAAGTTTGATTCAACATGGTGCGGCTCATAGTTTGATGACCGGTTCATGTAGTTGTGACGCATCTCGTTGAAGCGTATGGGATCAGATGTGTTGGATAAGAGTCTAGACTGTCCTAGGCCGTGTCCGGGTTTGGAATATGATGTATTGTTGAGAGTTGTGCCGTACCAAGAAGAAGAAGTGTAGTTGTTGTAGTATGGCTCTCTGATGTGAGCATATGGATATATCGAGTCTATGCCAAAACTAGGCATCATGCTTGAACATATAGTACCATTTTCCGAGACTTTCCTCAAGAATTGTCGATATTTCTGCGTACGTAGTAAACAACTTCGAGTTAATTCTACTGTTTTTGACTCACATAAAATATTGGTTATGAAAAGAAAAAAATCCCGTTTAAAACATTAAATAAAATAAGATTTTTGAAAGGGGTATGATCAAACCTGTAAATGGCTGGCAACGTTCTCTCTTGTCAAGTACGATAGATTCATGAACTCCAAGATTTTCTTTGGCACGGCCTCTATTGAAGAGCCAAGTTTAATTAGTAACAAACATAGAAAATTAGTCAGTGTGTATATATATCAACTTGAAAATGTAAGAAATGAATTGTCTATCATGTATGAAAATGTCTTTTTAAAAAAAAAAAAAATCAAAAGACTTACTGTCAAGACCGAGATGTTGGATAGCTTGTAAGAAAAGAATATGAAGATCATCCGTCCAAGTAATCTTATTCTTCTTGGAGGGCTGAGACAAAGAATCAACATCATCACCAGAACCACCGTTTGGTGTTCTTTTGTTATTTTTCCGTGAAGCATCGCTAATAACACAGCTTCCATTTGAGCTCTTCACGGATTTTGAATCCGGTCTACGTGAGAACTTCTTCTTGGTCATCATCATGAGATTGTCTTGATCAGGAACCAACTGGATTCGCTGAGCGATGCTAACATCTGTATCATTGTGGTTGTTCTCGATCCATAAGGTGGACTTACCATTCCTCTTACAAGTTAAAGCAAGTTGGTAAATCTTGGTTAATGCAGTTGCTTTGATGGGTTTTGGAATGAAACCCATCGCTCCACACGTTAAACTCTCGTGTTCTTTATCGGTGTCCGATGACATAACTTTCATGTAAGAAAATGTAACGAAAAAAAAGTTATAGCTTCGAATTATAGCAAAAAAAAAAAAATTATAATCTTAGGTAAGTTAAAAAAAAAAAAAAAAAAAAACTTACGTATGACTGGTAAATTGCCATATTCTTGATTGATCTGTTCTTTGAGTTGTAGACCATTCATGTCAGGCATGTAATAATCTGTAACGATGAGATCAATATTGTTTCTTTGGATTTGAAGAGTAGACATTGCTTCTCTCGAATCTTTTACAGCTATAACCATGATCTCCACAGTCGATGGATCTACTAAAGCATTTAACCAAGAAAAGTCAGTTGTGAGAAATATTGCAAGTACAAAAGATTGTTTACTTTTAAATTGTTTTAGCCTTTTTCAAAAAGAGAGGAAAGTGTGAAAAATGGAGGTATGTATATATTTTAATTTATCTGTTTATTTCCCCTTATTCAACATATTTTAGCTAAATATTTTCCCCAATTTAACTTATTTTTGCTGAATATTTTTCCACACTTGAATTGTGAAATATTTTATAACTTTTGAGAATGCTCATAGCATGAGCCAAACACATTCTTTGAAATCATAACACTTTCTTTTAAATGGCTATGCATTGATTTTAAAAACTAACCAGATGAACTTTATAAGTAAGCCGATTTGAAGATCATCAGTTAATTTTCACCTTCGAGAAAAGTTCATTACGTACAGTAACACTATGAACATATCATTTTTGCATTCAACGATAAGTTATTATTTTCTAAATCAAATTTGTCCTATATTCTTCTTTAAAAATTACATAGTATATTCGTTTAAGTTGTTGTATCACCAAAACCATTAGTTTAAAATCATCAAAATGAGAATAACTCAAACGAATTTTAGATGTGTGCATGCAAATGATATTCAAATCCTAATGATTTAGAAAGATAATTCTTAAATTTCACTGAAATATAAATTTTGAAAGGGCTACAAAATTTACTGTTATTTTTAATCAGCTGATTGGTTTTGTTCTGCTCAGATATCAATGAAGTTAAGAATAAATTAATAACATACTGTACGTATTTGATAATAATGTCTTACCTCTTAATTTTAAGTTTTCAAGCTTGCGTGACATGATTTGAAGGAAAACAGGATCATCGTCCACAACCATAACATTGATTCTCAGGACAGGGCTTTGGTTGTAGAAAGATTGAGCAAAAGCCATTCTGCTAGTCTTTGTAGAATTTTTGGTGTGTTTTCAAGTTTGTACCAACTCTTTAGGCTGCTGAAAGCTTGATATTTAAAGGCGTATAAAGTAGACACGCAAAAGTAAGATTAATAAGTAAGTTTATTGTAGAAAGAAATAATGATGCAAGTTAAATGTAATTTAAATTTTTTTATCATTATATTGAAAGGTAAGAAAATAAAATTTATAAAAGAGATATATCAAAAGATACCACTGGTTGGAAATAAATACCGTGTGCTAATTAATGTATAAAATCTAACCTAAAGTAAGAAACAACTAATGCAATCTAGCAATATATATTTTTTAGTTCTATAAAATATATGTAATCGTTATTTTTTCTAGTGATTTTTATTTCTGATTTAGGACTGATTATTAAGCAGATTTTTTACATATTTGTTTGATTTGTGCTATAAAGGGAAAATCCTAGAATATTTATGTATAATGCAAAAATGCTAATATAAAATAACTTTGATTTGTAGAAATTTTGTGTATTTGATATTATTTGCAAAGTGGTTTGCCACATGTTTTTTCTACAAACATTTTTACAAAAAAATGATGATATGGTTACTAAAATTAATGATATGGCTTATAATTAAATATAATATGGAAAATTATATTTATTGTTGATATATATTTTTGGTAAACTTTATAAAATATAGCAATAACTGATACATTACATTTAATGATGATTTTTTTAAATTTCTTAAAATATGATAATAACTCATAAATCAAATCATCACTAAAAATAAATATATTGAAATATGCATTATAAATTTTTGAAATTTTATTTAATTTTACTTTTATATTTTTTTTCTTCAAAAAATTTTACTTTTATAATTATACAATTTTTACTACTAATATTTTCAAAATTTTCTACGACTTTTTAAAAAACTAATAAATTTTAATCGTAATATTTAGTTTCTTTTAGATATCGGCAAATTTCATAAATATCGTTTAGTTATAATTTTTAATAACTATACAATTTTATATGATTTTTTTAGTAATTTTATACAAGTTGATTTAATACATTTAACAAAAATAAATACATAAAAAAAAACTTCTAAGATTGGGATTTTAAATATATTACATATATATTATTATAATAATTTAAAATAAACATATTTTTAAAAAAATTTGTGCTTAATTAAATTAAATTTTTATTAAATATTAGTCAAAATAATAAAATATATAATATCAATAAATTTTATTTAAAATATAATTTAATTTTAAAAAAGTATATCACTGCACATGGTGTAGAAAAACAACTAGTGGAAAATTAAGCGTAAACGGTTTTATTTGTTGGATGAAACTAGAAAACTTAGGGTTTCGAAATACAAATAGAGAATTTTGAAACCATGGCTGTAGAATGTTGCATGGTGGTTTCGTGGAATTCATGATGACTCATACAGTATCAGAAACTTGGGATCCTGATTTGTGAATCACAGTTATGCTTTTTTTTTGGCTAAGTGTCACGGTTATGTTTTGTAACAGTTTATAATTAATTTGTATCAAGAGATTAAGAAATCATTTGATTTAATGATCTAACATATTATATTCACATTTACATAATGTATCTAAAATAGTTTTTTTATTGGTGAAAGTATCTAAAATAGTTATTTGGATAAACAACTCTATGTTCGATAGATGATAGATTTAGCGCTTGTTCATTGTTCTCCAGGCAACAAAATTAATTAAAGTTCACACATGCACGACTTGTTGATTTCTTAATAACTCATGCAAAAGGAAAACTGATTGAGTCTGAAATGTTGACTTATCATCAGATAACCACATCAACAAAGTAACTGAAAACCTATTAGCTAATTTTACTTTTTTATCAACATATAATTTTAGTTAGTCTAAGAAAAGATTGATAGCTGATTCAGACTAAAAAATTAAAAATATATATCATAATATGCCATTTAAAACCTTTAATATTAATATTATCATGATATCTTTATTATATCTTAAAACTTGCTAATAAATCTTTATTGTTTAACTATCATATATATTCTTAGTTTATTATAATTATTATAGTTTTTTCTTGTATAAAATAGTTACTGCTACCTGTTAAAACTCAAAAAAAAAAAAATTTAAGAGCATTTTATCAGCAAAATGTCTCAATTCTTTTTTTGATAAAATATAATTCTTATTTTTTATTTGCTACAATAAATGTTTTCTCTTTTAACTTTTATCAAAGTCAAAATCTAGTCAGTTTTTGTCAAAATGTCCTCCGCTTAGTGTTACGTACGTGAAAAAGCGTTGGTCAGGGATCAGAATCTTAATAGTACATTGACACGAATGTAACAAAAAGGTAGGCTGCATGCAAGACACTAGATTCGCTGTTTAATGACTTTCAAAGTTTCAATTTATTAAGGCTATTAGTACTTTTGTAGTTAACCAAGGGAAAACACAAGTGATTTGTAATTAGGAGGAGAAATAAGTGGAAAATTGATGGTTATCATATTATGGAAAACTAAAGGACATGTAGACAGTAGACATGTTTTAATAATTAGGGGAAATTGTTTTTTTTTATCAAAAAGTTAATTAGACGAAAATTAAAGTATTCAAATTTAGCAGTTAATAGAATAATTAATAACAATCAGCTTTAACTGCTGCTAAAAGAAAATCAGCATAAACATGTGTTGAGCTTTTTACCCAAAAAAAAAACATGTGTTGAGAGTTGACAACTGCAACCAAGAATAACTGAAATATATCAGGTTGGTTTTAAAACCATTAACATTTTTTATTACTCCATATACTTACAATAAACATATTTTGTGATGTCTAATTTGTGAGATAGTGGTTTTGAACCATAGTTTCCAAAGTATTATGCAAATTATATTTATGTTGTTATGAAAATATACATTTTGTATCTAAAATTAAGCCAAATAACCTTAAACATTAGAATTAGGTGTTATAAATTTCGGCTACATTATTATGTGTATGATAGAATTATTAAACATTTTTAGAGGTAGAAAAATTAAAATCTTGTGTTCTTAAACTTGTAATTTTAAATATATTTTTATTCTTGTTATTAGAAATATTTTAAATATAAAATATATGAGATTTGTTGTATTTTAAACTTGGTAAACTTTTTAGGTAAAGTATAAAGATCTGAATCTCATAGTTTTAAATGAGTATCTATAGTATTTTAAATAAAATAATAAATGTATTATATAGCCAAAATCATAAACTTAATAAAATCAAATATTTCCAAATACTCTCAATACTTATATTCTTAATATATTTGGACTCATATATCTCCTATATTCTATACCATAGATAAATAACAAAAAAATACAACCATTATAAGACTAGAAAGATATATCAAGCCAAATATTTGAAAGAATTTCAGTTTTAGTGATTTTTATTTAAGTTTTCAGCCAATGAGTTATTACAGTTTTTTTTATAATTTTAAAAATCTTTTATAATATAAAGGATTTATGATCTTTATATCTTAACCTGGAATATTCAACACACATATTGAAATCACTAAGTGTTCACGAAAGGGACTATGTCAGTTACATATAGAAGTTTTTTGCATGTACACGGTAAGCAGAGAATTGCATGTTTTAGGTGTTCGGCAATTGGCAGACAAAGAACACGGCGACCTATTACAAAAGACCAAATCGATATGCTCGAGGATGGAATCTTGTATACTAAAGAAAACGTAACGTTAAGTTGGTTATGCTGTTTTTATACATCCAAAATTGATATTAAGTAGTTGACAATTTAGATGTGTTTACATAGCTCCTTCTCAGCATTAAAAGGATGGAACGTTCGGTTCTTTAACAATTAACACACCACAAGTCTGCTTTTTCATACTTTAGCTTTAATAACCAAGAAAAGACTAGCTTATCTTTAAATTACGTATCTGATTTTGATCAATCAGCTAATACGATTTGGCGTTTAAGTTGTGATGGGCCTCACAAAGCCCAAGATAGCTTTTCCTGATAAACGGTTGATGGTTTCATTAAAACGAAGAAACTGCCAGGATTTAGAAGGAACAAACAAATATTCGAAACAGTCGGTTTTTTGATAAACTTTGTAACGGACGATTCTTGTGTGCAGTAGATGTGAGTCTTTCAACAAATCTTATTTCTACGGTAGATTTCCCACAACATTTGTTATTTTATAATAAATATAAAATTTATTTAAACAAAAACCGTATTACATCAAATGCCACAGTTTTAGAAAGAACTACAAAAGGAAAATCAAAAACTCCAAACTAATCCTCTTTAAAACCATAAAACAATCCCAATCTCTAACCACAAATCATCACAATGCTTCTTTTCAAGCTTAACCATGAGAACTTTCTCATTAGAATCTCATCAAAGAAAATCTAATTGAAACAAAATTTGAACGAAGAAAAATAGTAAAATTCTCATGTTCAGGAGGATTTCCCTCAACATTTAAAACATCCGTATTAGAAATTTATAGAAAAAGGTTTTTGTAAAAAGAAAATAATATATTTAAAGATAGAAAGAAAAATTATATTAAAATATTACTATTATTTTTGTAAGAGACAATTTTGAAAGACTTTTGATGCGAATGTTCTTAGAAAATCTAAAACCAAATTTTCTCAGTGTGATATATTTAATTTTAATAATATACAATCAAACTCAACTCTAATATTGTGCCTTACCAGTTAGACCCTAGTTTCTAAAACTCGTTTACTATAGCATTATAAGACCATTTGATATTAACTAACGAAAGTTTATACTGTTATTATAAATAAATAACAATAACAAGACAAATAGAAAACTGTATGAAAAAAACAAAATCTACTCTAGTAGAATATTTCTTTTTATCTACTAATACAAGTTGTCATTTAAATTTGGATTTGAAAAACGCAAGTTATATTTTTTGCTTTTGTTTATTTACAAAATAAACTATTGTAATTTTTTTTGTCCTCTTTTCAGTTTTAAATTAGATGTTGGATAATTTGGCATTTGTTTATTGGTAATATTAGTTCAAACTAACTTAGGAGATCTAAAAATTAAAAACCCAAACAAAAATCTGAAATTAAAAAATAGAAACTTAAGAACTAAAAACCAAAAACCAAAAACTAAATCTAAAAACTAAAATTCAAAACCAAAAGCTGAAAAACGCAGGTTATATTTTTGATTTTGTTTATTTACAAAATAAACTATTGTAATTTTAAAAAAAAAAATTTCATCTTTTCAGTTTTAAATTAGATGTTGGATAATTTGACATTTGTTTATTGGTAATATTAGTTCAAACTAACTTAGGAGATCTAAAAATTAAAAACCCAAACAAAAATCTGAAATTAAAAAATAGAAACTCAAAACTAAAAACCAAAAACAAAAATGAAAATCTAAAATTAAAAACTGAAATTAAAAACTAATGAAAAACAATCATCACCACAAATTTTGGTGAACTGATTTTATATCAAAACATTCTTTAAATTAAAACAAAACTCAATTATATAAATTTTTAATCATAAAAAATTTCGCGTTTGAAAACGCGGATCAAAATCTAATTGTTAACTTACGGAGGAGAATAAACCGACCGAAAAATATTTTTAAAATAATAAACACAACACACAAACACTGACGTCACTACTATTCCATACGCCTAGGATTTTCCTCTAGCCCCTATAAATAGCACTCTTTTCTTCTCTAGTTACACGACCACTATATTAATTTATATACCTCAGAAGACCTTTCAAGGATCTTTCATTTTATTCTTCAGGATCTTTCATTTCCACTACTATATATACATAAATGGCAATGGAATGCATCGCAACTCTCCCTCATAGGTTCAACGAAAACAAAACCAAAGAGGATCCTTCAATCTTCGATGCAAATCTCCTGAATCAGCTATCAAACCACATACCTCAACAGTTCATATGGCCCGACCACGAGAAACCTTCCACTGATGTTCAACCTCTCCAAGCCCCTCTCATAGACCTCGCCGGTTTCCTCTCCGGCGACTCCTTCTTGGTCTCGGAGGCTACTAGACTCGTCTCTGAGGCTTCAAAGAAACATGGCTTCTTCCTAGTCACTAACCATGGTGTAGATGAGACGCTCTTGTCTCGTGCCTATCTGCTTATGGACTCTTTCTTTAAGGCTCCAGCTTGTGAGAAACAAAAGGCTCAGAGGACTTGGGGTGAGTCCTCTGGCTACGCTAGTAGCTTCGTTGGGAGATTCTCCTCTAAGCTCCCCTGGAAGGAAACGCTGTCGTTTAAGTTCTCTCCCGAGGAGAAGTGTCAATCCCAAACCGTCAAAGACTTTGTTTCTAAGAAAATGGGAGATGAGTACAAAGATTTTGGGTAAGCAAATTAATAAATATTTTTATTTTTTGGAAACATTCTTTTGAATATTCAACATCCAATAATCGGCTGAGTGTGGCCTACGTATATATCTAGTTAGTACAAAAAAAAGAGACTTATAATTGGTTGATTTAATTCATGCAGAAAAGTCTATCAAGAATACTCCGAGGCCATGAACATTCTCTCGTTAAAGATCATGGAGCTTCTTGGAATGAGTCTTGGAATCGGGAGGAGACATTTTAGAGACTTTTTCGAAGACAACGAGTCCATACTACGGTTGAATTATTACCCACAATGCAACCAACCGGAGCTTACATTAGGGACAGGACCTCACTGCGACCCAACGTCTCTAACCATACTTCATCAAGATCAAGTCGCTGGTCTTCAAGTTTACGTGGACAATAAATGGCAATCTATTCCTCCTAACCCTCAAACATTCGTGGTGAACATTGGCGACACATTCATGGTACTTATTATGATGATCAATGCATGCACTAATAGATCAAATGACAAGAATGTTTAAATGTTTTTTTTTTCTTTGGTGTCATGTTTAGGCTCTAACGAATGGAATATACAAGAGTTGTTTGCATCGAGCGGTGGTGAACAGCGATAGAGAAAGGAAGACATTCGCATACTTCCTATGTCCGAAAGGAGACAAAATGGTGAAGCCACCAGAAGAACTAGTAGGAGGAGTGATGTCTGGTGAAAGAGAATATCCTGATTTTACATGGTCTATGTTTCTTGAGTTCACACAGAAGCATTATAGATCAGACATGAACACTCTTGAAGAGTTCTCAAATTGGCTTAAGAACAGAAGAAGTTTCTAAAATGAGGAGACAACGATGTGGCCCATAAGTGGACGTGTAGTTATGCAGAGAGCTTTCATATGGGGTTTTCTTAAGACGAGGGAGATAAGATGTCAAGCCTAATTAATGAACCTTTGTCTATGTCTTTTTGTTTTCTTTTGTTTTTATTAATGATATTGCTTTATGTTGTCAAGTGTACATTAAATATTAGCAGATCAATAAACTTATGTACAATGTACGCCATTGGAGCGAATTATGATTTTTGGTTCGTTAATATACACATTAATGATAACTTACTTCTAATAGATGAAAAACATTACTCATAAAGATAGTGTTAGTTCAAATATATATTTCAGTCCTATATAGAAAAGTGGTTACATGAAGGCCACACCGATGCTAAACCAAGATCAAAGACGATTAAATAAGATATTGGCCATTAGTACAGTGATACACAGAGAAAAAGAACAAATTTTGATTCGACCTCAAGAAGAAGAAAATCAAATCTATCAGGAGATTTGAATGGTTGTACTTGTGCCATGTGAGAAGACAATGTACTTGCTTTGTCGTCTTCTTTCATTTTCTTTGAAAAGAATCTAATATGATAAGAAAACCTTTGAAGAATATTATATATATATATTGATCAAAAAAAAATATATTATATATATATATATATATATCTGTAAAGATGATATATAGGCCTACAATGTCCGATGTTCATACAGAAAAAAATTCTACAATTGTACTTTATATAATTTATATATGGCGTAAGTTAAGCATATATAGCAATGTCTATAAATAAATATGTATTTAAAATATTATGGATTACGGTAAATTGTATATACTTCGAGAATATTTAGTTAGTTTGAAGTCTTTTATCTTTATTTCACAAAATATAAATTTTATTTGAAAAGATTTTGACATAATTGGGTTCTTTGTAAAGAATAATATAATATAACCATTTTTGTATTATACTAGTGAGATTACTTCAAAACTATGTATGCGTGCATGGTATATAGAAATATACGGGAAAATGTGTTTTGGAATGTAGCTTCTAAGTTTCCGGTTTTTGTACATCTTCTTCGGTAACATACAAAACACAGTTTTTATAACAAAAAAAATAATCGAATAGTATATGATGTAATTCATTCTGACATGTATCATTAACATGTAACATCACAAAGAGATATTTGTTTTTGTTAGAAAAAAATCGAAAATTTTTGTTTTCTCTTTTTTCTTCGACAAATATCGTTAATCTCTATCTCTCTTTTTTTCGTTAAGCATCTCGATACAAAATAATTATATTCAATCTCCCCATTTTCAGTATTATTAAAGTTAGCTAGGGTTAAAATGAAAATCAACAAATATGTTATCAGTGATGTATAGTATGTAACTCTATGGTTAATAACCTTAGCATATGAGGAACAAAAAACGAAGAGTCGGTTAAATAAATAACTATAGCATTAATAATGAATCCATTTGTGTAGTCTTATTCAATAAGACATTTAACCTAAGCTTACCCCTCCATATTAGTAGGACCGAGAGAGCTGATCGAAACGATACTTAAGTGGGACTGCTAGATACCCAAAATCTAACATTGAGATAATGAGAGAGCAAGAAGTTATTTATTGGTGCATGTTACTCCACTCGTTGGACCATTTTCTTTTATTAACAAGCTTACGAATGTGTTGATATCGTATCATAATTCATATATTATTATATAGTCCACCCCAAAAGAAGATAACAGAGAAATGGGAAAACACTAAGATGAGAAAGACCTAAAACGGTGTCGTATAGCTAGAGTGGATAGAATCTGTGTCGTGGAGTGTCTGAATGAGACGGCACCAAAGTGACAAAACAGATGCGCGTGATGCACGTGAAGAGGGCCTGGTTAACCTTATGAGAAGTAGGGGCTGGAGCATCATTGGACCCTTTATAGCTGGTTCTATGTTTCCATTTATTTATTTATGTGTAATAAAACTATAAAACAAATTTCACGTTAAATGCCGTTTTGTCTTTTTCTAATAACTTGTTTTTTTAGTATTTGGTTCATTTAGTCTTTTCTTCTATTAGACAAACAATTTGGTTCTTGTCATTTGATCTAGTAATGCATGCATTGATGGATCATCATAATAAATACCATGAATGGAATGCCATTTGTTGTAATATACTAATATCAAATAAAAATAATACCTTAAAAATAGTTGCCTACAAATATCCAAAGTTTGCAAATAATGTTATCAACCTAGCAAAACTTAAATCCATATTAAGTTTTTGGGAAAAGAACCTAATTCCATATTTTGGATATCTTTAAAATAAAATATTAGTATCCAGGAAATATTACAAATATTTGCATTTCCATTATTTATTGATTAGTATGGTTAAGCTGCTTTGATCGAATCATGTAAAACACTCTAGACTCTAGCTGACTACAAATTAAATATCCAATCTTTTTTTTGCTAAAATTTGGAATTAAACATCCAGTTTCCTAAAAAAAAAAAAGACATCCAGTTTCTCCCACTAAAAAGATTCCTTCAAAAGAAACACTGCTTTTGAATTGATTTCACAAACGATATAGTCATTTGTTTTTTTTTTGTAAAAAGGATATAGTCATTTGTTACGAAAATTATATGTATAGTGAACTAAAATCATACGCGTATCTTGTGATCAAACTAATGACATAATTAGTTGAGCAATTGAAATGACATGAGTTGTAGGAAGAAAAAAAGATCGTTCCAAATACAATAAAACGTGGTCACGCAGCCTACTCACAATCAAATGTTTAAATCTTGTGAATCTGACATTACGTCACGCAGCCTACTCACAATCAAATGTTTAAATCTAGTGAATCTGACGTTACTAACAATAATACATATACTAGGTTAGGATCTATATATAAATAACGCTTTCTACATATTAAAAACTATATATTAAATAATTAAAATATATATATATAATTAAATTAGTATCAATAAATAAATCGAAACAATCACTCTTATAGAATGAACTTGTTTGGGATCATAAAAACTTTATCATAAGATACATCTTACAAACAATGATGCATGCGATATATGGAGGGAGAGAAACTCGCATCCACGCGATGAACAGTCACAAAATGCGGATTAAGTTTGTAGACAAAACCATCAAACTGATGCTTCTACCACAAACATCTTGATGAGGGTTTGATCACTTGATTTGGAACATGACAAGAATGATAAAAAGAGTTTTCTTATTTAGTTTCAGATTCCTTGATTTTTTGCATTTAAAGAAAACATTTGCATTCTATATAGTAGAGCTTCGATTGAATAAAATTTTATATTTATTAAAAAACTGTCACCTTTATTTATTTATACTTAATAATTATGGTGGTAACTAAATAAAAATAATCAATTTTATCTACTTATATGGTATATAATTAAATTTAAATAATATTAACTTACGTAGTATATATTTTATATGACTATCTATTAAGTAAAATTCTTTATTAATATAATTTTATGATCATTTGTATCTTTTTATTATAAAAAAAAATTAAATCATTGATAATACAAGTTTCAGTGTCAAATGTTTACTAGTTTAATTATTTATAATGGTATTTAAAAATTCAGTGAAAATTTTTAAATGTAAATATTTATGTATTTGTATATGGTAATAATTTATTTTAAATGCTATTATATATATATATATATATCTTAATCTAATATCTATTAAATAAGTTTTTTACTCACGTGATTTTATAATTTTTTGTATTTGGTTATAGCAACAAAAATTAACTATTAATCATAAAATTTTCTATGTGAGATTTTTAATGATTGTAGTAAATTTTTAGTAGTTTTCAAAAAATCAAAAAATAAATTTTATTAATGGATAATATGATTGTTTTATATGTTTTAATAATATAGAGTTAAACTAAGAGAATACACAAATAATTGCCACATAGATCTAGTTAGATTAGGTAATTCGTAGCTTTTATTTAAAAAATAATAAAAATATTAATAATTAAATATGTAGCTAGTTTAATAAAAATATAGTATATGTATAGATGAATCAACTTATGTCTCTAATGATTCCAAAAATAACTCTATTAATAATATATATTATAAATCGAATATTGTAATGTTTTTCAGATAATACATAAGGGGTCTCACTGTATATGTTACAAATTTACACGACATCCAAATTTATATAACTCAAGTAGTCTAGATATCTGGTTAATTACCAACATAATAATATGGGTTTTATGAGTTTTACTATCAAATATAGGTCGACTTAATTTAACTGTACGTTTTTCTATTGTACGTTTTTTCTTCTGGATGCTACATGTTCATTCTTTTTTTTGAGCAATCTACATGTTCATCTTTGTGCATACCTTTCTCTCTTTATTTTTTCATTTGTAACCTCTATAAATAATGTTCATATTTGTTTCTCGCGAGACCCAATCTTTACTAGTTTGTTTTTTCTTCTGAAAAGACAATGCTGAATTGTATTTTTTCCTTAATTTAACTTTATGTATACGTAAGATATGACATGTCATATTGTTTATACCTCGGGTCATTTTGTCTTTTGCCTCGTTTTTTGTCTTCAACGAAAACCTAAAATGTAATGGCCAGAGATTACGTCGAGGGAAGGGTTCTTATGTATTTCTTTATAATGATTTTTTGAATCTCGATCCTTTGGATTTTATAGATACGTGCGATTTGGATTGCTATGATTTTAAATTTTTTTAAATATCTTGTGGTTACCAAGTCATCTGCTATGTAGTTTGGATTGTTGTAACAAAACAACTCATCTGGTTTTTATTCGTTTTTTGTTTGTTGTCTTTCCTATGAAGTAATCTTACACATAAAATGCATTTGAGGTTCATATCGGGCTTTTGTATAAGTGGATTGAAATCAGGCCTTTAAGCCTTCTAAATTGGGCTTAGCTTTGGAAAACGTTGGAAATTAAGCTCGGCCTATCTATTCTTTACCTTTCTCAAATAGAAAAAGAAAAATCAGAAAACGAATTTCAAGATTGTTTGTAAG